ATCTCACATGCAAGGATACACAAACGCTCAAAATAAAGGGATGGAGGAAGATTTACCAAGCTAATGGAAAGCAAAAAGAAAGCAGGAGTTGCAATTCTCATCTCTGATAAAATAGACTTTAAAGCAATAAAGATCAAAAGAGACAAAGAAGGCCATTACATAATGGTAAAAGGATCGATACAACAAGAAGAGCTAACGATCCTAAACATATATGGACCCAACACAGGAGCACCCAGATACATAAGGCAAGTTCTTAATGACTTACAAAAAGACTTAGACTCCCACACAATAATAGTGGGAGACTTTAACACTCCACTGTCAATACTAGACAGATCAACCAGACAGAAAATCAACAAGGATATCCAGGGCTTGAACTCAGACCTGGAGCAAGCAAACCTGGTGGACATTTACAGAACTCTCCACCCCAAATCCACAGAATACACATTCTTCTCAGCACCACATCACACCTACTCTAAAATTGACCACATAATTGGAAGTAAAGCACTGCTCAACAAATGCAAAACAACTGAAATCATAAGAAACAGCCTCTCAGACCATAGGGCAATCAAGTTAGAACTCAGAATTCAGAAACCGACCCAGAACCGCACAGCTTCATGGAAACTGAACAACTGGCTCTTGAATGTTGACTGGGTAAACAACGAAATGAAGGCAGAAATAAAGAAGTTCTTCGAAACCAATGAGAATGAAGACACAACGTGCCAGAACCTCTGGGACACATTTAAAGCAGTCTCTAGAGGAAAGTATATAGCAATAAGTGCCCATATGAGGAGAATGGAGAGATCCAAAATTGACACCCTATCGTCAAAATTGAAAGAGCTAGAGGAGCAAGATCAAAAAAACTCAAAACCCAGCAGAAGACAAGAGATTACTAAGATCAGAGCTGAGCTGAAGGAGATTGAGACACGAAAAACCCTTCAAAAAATCAATAAATCCAAGAGCTGGTTTTTTGAAAAGATCAACAAAATAGACAGACCACTAGCCAGATTGATTAAAAAAAAGAGAGAGAACAACCAAATAGATGCAATAAGAAATGATAAAGGGGAAATCACCACAGATTCCACAGAAATTCAAACCATCATCAGAGAATATTACAAACAACTATATGCGCATAAACTAGTAAACCTGGAAGAAATGGATAAATTCCTGGACTCCTGTGTCCTCCCAAGCCTAAACCAGGAGGAAGCTGAAACTATGAATAGACCAATAACAAGGTCTGAAGTCGAGGCAGCAATTAAGAGCCTACCTCACAAAAAAAGCCCAGGTCCAGACGGGTTCACAGCCGAATTCTACCAGACACACAAGGAGGAGCTGGTACCATTCCTTCTAAAACTATTTCAAACAATCCAAAAAGAGGGAATCCTTCCCAAATCATTTTATGAGACCAACATCATCCTGATACCAAAACCCGGCAGAGACCCAACGAGAAAAGAAAACTTCAGGCCAATATCCATGATGAACATAGATGCAAAAATCTTCAATAAAATATTGGCAAGCCGATTGCAACAGCAAATCAAAAAACTTATTCATCATGATCAAGTAGGATTCATCCCGGGGATGCAAGGCTGGTTCAACATACGCAAGTCTATCAACGTAATTCACCACATAAACAGAACCAAAAACAAAAACCACATGATTATCTCAATTGACGCAGAGAAGGCATTTGACAAAATTCAACAGCCCTTTATGCTAAAAACCCTCAATAAACTCGGTATCGATGGAACGTATCTCAAAGTAATAAAAGCTATTTATGACAAACCAACAGCCAATATCATACTGAATGGGCAAAAACTGGAAGCATTCCCTTTGAAATCTGGCACTAGACAAGGATGCCCTCTCTCACCACTCCTATTCAATATAGTACTGGAAGTTCTAGCCAGAGCAATCAGGCAAGAAAAAGAAATAAAGGGTATTCAAATACGAAAGGTGGAAGCCAAATTGTCTCTATTTGCAGACGACATGATAGTATACCTAGAAGACCCCATTGCCTCAGCCCAAAAACTCCTGAAACTGATAAACAACTTCAGCAAAGTCTCAGGATATAAAATCAATGTGCAAAAATCACAAGCATTCATCTACACCAATAACAGACTTAAAGAAAGCCAAATCAAGAGCTAACTGCCATTCGCAATTGCTACAAAAAGAATAAAATACCTTGGAATACAACTCACGAGGAACGTAAGGGACCTCTTCAAGGAGAACTACAAACCACTGCTCAACGAAATCAGAGAGGACACAAACAGATGGAGAAACATTCCATGTTCATGGTTAGGAAGAATTAATATCGTGAAAATGGCTATACTGCCCAAAGTAATTTACAGAATCAACGCTATCCCCATCAAGCTACCATTGACTTTCTTCACAGAACTGGAAAAAACCACCATGAACTTCATATGGAACCAAAAGAGAGCCTGCATAGCCAAGTCAATTCTAAGCAAAAAGAACACAGCGGGGGGCATCACACTACCGGATTTCAAACTATACTACAAGGCTACAGTAATCAAAACAGCATGGTACTGGTACCAAAACAGAGATATAGACCAATGGAACAAAACAGAGGCACCGGAGGCAACACAACATACATACAACTATACAATCTTTGATAAACCTGACAAAAACAAGCAAGGGGGCAAGGATTCCATGTTTAACAAATGGTGTTGGGAAAACTGGCTAGCCATGTGCAGAAAGCAGAAACTGGACCCCTTCCTGACACCTTACACTAAAATTAACTCCAGATGGATTAAAGACTTAAACATAAGACCTGGCACCATAAAATCCCTAGAAGGAAATCTAGGCAAAACTATCCAGGACATAGGAGTAGGCAAGGACTTCATGAACAAAACACCAAAAGCATTGGCAACAAAAGCCAAAATAGACAAATGGGACCTAATGAAACTCCACAGCTTCTGCACGGCAAAAGAAACAGTCACTAGAGTGGATCGGCAACCAACAGAATGGGAAAAAATTTTCGCAGTCTACCCATCTGACAAAGGGCTGATATCCAGAATTTACAAAGAACTCAAGCAGATTTACAGGAAAAAAACAAACAAGCCCATTCAAAAGTGGGCAAAGGATATGAACAGATACTTTACGAAAGAAGACATATATGAGGCCAACAATCATATGAAAAAATGCTCATCGTCACTGGTCATCAGAGAGATGCAAATCAAAACCACATTGAGATACCATCTCACGCCAGTTAGAATGGCGATCATTAAAAAATCTGGAGACAACAGATGCTGGAGAGGATGTGGAGAAAAAGGAACACTTTTACACTGTTGGTGGGAGTGTAAATTAGTTCAACCATTGTGGAAGACAGTGTGGCGATTCCTCAAGGCCTTAGAAATAGAAATTCCATTTGACCCAGCAATCCCATTACTGGGTATATATCCAAAAGACTATAAATCGTTCTACTATAAGGACACATGTACACGAATGTTCATTGCAGCACTGTTTACAATAGCAAAGACCTGGAATCAACCCAAATGCCCATTGATAATAGACTGGATTGGAAAAATGTGGCACATATACACCATGGAATATTATGCAGCAATCAGAAATGATGAATTCGTGTCGTTTGTAGGGACATGGATGAATCTGGAGAACATCATCCTCAGCAAACTGACACAAGAACAGAAAATGAAACACCGCATATTCTCACTCATAGGTGGGTGATGAAAAATGAGAACACATGGACACAGAAAGGGGAGTACTAAACACTGGGGTCTATTGGGGGGAAAAGGGGAGGGACAGTGGGAGGGGGAGGTGGGGAGGGATAGCCTGGGGAGAAATGCCAAATGTGGGTGAAGGGGAGAAGAAAAGCAAAGCACACTGCCATGTGTGTACCTACGCAACTGTCTCGCATGCTCTGCTCATGTACCCCAAAACCTATAATCAAATAAAAAATAAAAAAAAAAAAAATAAAAAAATAAAAATACAAAAATTAGCCAGGCGTGGTGGTGCGTGCCTATAATCCCAGATACTCGGGAGGCTGAGGCAGGAGAATTGCTTGAACACAGGAGGTGGAGGTTGTAGTGAGCTGAGATTGCACCACTGCACTCCAGCCTGGGCAACAGAGTGAGACTCCATCTCTAAATAAATAAATAAATAAATAATTTTTAAAAAGAAAATTCTAAGGGCTTAGTGATTATAAATTTAACTTGATGCATGGTCACTGAGTTGCAGAGTTGAGATATGAACCCAGGTCTGTTTGACTTTAAAGCCCAAAAGGAAGGCATGTCACTTTAAAAAAAGGGAAAGGGCAAGTAATGAAAGAAGGAAAATGATGTGTCTTCTACAGAATTGGTGGAGTTAATTCCTTCAGCAACTCTCCTCCCCACCTTATTTTAGGTTTAGGAATAATATCAAAAGCAGTCAGTCATTTTTATTATTATTTTTAAGACAGGGTCTCCTTCTTCTGTCACCCAGGCTAGAGTACAGTGGTTCGATCTCAGCTCACTGCAGCCTTGACCTCTCAGGCTCAAGCAATTCTCCTGCCTCAGTCTCTTGAGTAGCTGGGACAACAGGTGTGTGCCACTGTGCCTAGCTAATTTTTAAAAAATTTTTTTTAGAGATGGATTCCTGCTATGTTGTCTAGGCTCAAGCAATCCTCACACTTCAGCGTCCCAAAGTGTTGGGATTATTGGCATAAGCCACTGTGACTAGCCCCCAAGAACAACTGTATAGTATTGGTGCCAACCTGGGCCATTAGGTCTATTGGTATGTTTTCAAATTTTTGATATTAAGGTGGCATACATGTATAAGCTTGTCTGTAAGATGAATTCCTAGAAATGAAACTGTTTAAGTCAAAGTTAAAAAATTTGACAGTGATGTCAACTGCTCTCCAAAGATGGCTTTATCAATTTATGTTTTTGCCCGCAGTGTATGTATGTGCTTGTTTCCCACATCCTCACCAGTATTTTGGCATTATCAGTGCTGGTATGAGAAGGAGAAATGGAATTTGTGATTGTAATCTTGTTTACCTTTGGCTTCAATCCTCTGGCCACTTCCAATCAAGCAGTCCTTGATGTCTGTACCCTTCTCGATCACAGCATTGTTGCAGATGACGCTGCCTTGGATGTTGCTTCTGTAACATAGTAGCCAAGTTAGGGAGGACCCAGGGCTTGCATCATCATCCTCATTACTATTGGTTGGGAGTTCTGGCTCCTCCCTAGGCCAGGAACAGCTGGGCAGTCTAGTTAATGGCTACCTGCCTCAAGTTATCAGTGGAAGACACAATTGTAAGCCAAGGGAGGACCTGGCTTCACAGAAGTCCAGATTTGGGACTATCCTCGTAACAATCTTTCTCTAAGGCCTAAAAAGAAGATACTCTGACTTCATTCAGTTCCTTTTTTTTTTTTAGACAGGATCTCACTGTGTCACCAGGACTGGAGTGCAGTGGTGTGATCATAGATCACTGCAAGCTCTACAACACCTGGGTTCAAGTGATCCTCCCACCTCAGCCTGTAGCTGGGACTACAGTGCACACCAACATGCCTGGCTAATTACTTCAGTTCTTTAGGACCCCAGAACCTAGAGGTCTAAATTCCATCCAACCTCTTCTTTGTTCTGGGGCTGGTCCTTAGGCTGACCTATCACTGCTGCTTCTCATCTGGGAGTATATACCAAACTTCACTTGAGGCTCAGAAATCAAGAATCCTCCTAGGAGATCAACTCTGGAAACAATAGGCTCCCCACACTCTCACCACAGACTCTGGTTAAGCAAAGCCATACTCATTAAAAATGAAAAAAAAAATTTTTTTTTCAGATAAGGTCTCGCTCTATTGCCCAGGTTGGAGTGCAAGTGGTGCGATCTTGGCTCACTGCAGCCTCTTTCTTGTGGGTTCAAGCGATTCTCCTGCCTGAGCCTCCCAAGTAGCTGGGACTACAGGGCCACCATACCAGGCTAATTTTTGTATTTTTAGTAGAGATGGGGTTTCACCATGTTGGTCAGGATGGTCTTGAACTCCTGACCTCAAGTGATCCACTGCCTTGGCATCCCAAAGTGTAGGGATTACAGGAGTGAGTCACCGCGCCCGGCCTAAAAAACTTTTTTTAAGAGATAAGGTATTATGTTGCCCAAGCTGGTCTTAAATTCAAGCTCAAGCAATTCTCCTGCCTCAACCTCCTAAGTCTCTGAGACTACAGGTGCCCATCACTATGTCTGGCTAAAAAGGATTTTTTTCAAAACCAATTCCATTCCACATAAAAAACTATTCCAGACTCTAAAGCATACCCCAAGAGCAGCACCACTTGCTCATAGCATTTAAATGTATTTAAAAAGCGGCCAGGTACAGTAACTCATACCTGAAATCCTGGCACTTTGGGAGGCTGAGGCAGGCGGATCACCTGAAGTCAGGAGTTTGAGACCAGCCCGACCAATATCGTGAAACCCCGTCTCTACTAAAAATACAAAATTTAGCCAGGCTTGGTGGCAGGAGCCTGTAGTCCCAGTTAGTTGGGAGGCTGAGACAGAAGAATTGCTTGAACCCAGTGGGTAGAGGTTGCAGTGAGCTGAGATCATGCCATTGCACTCTAGCCTGGGCAACAAAAGCAAGACTGTCTCAAAAAAAAAAAAAAAAAAGAAAGGAATTTATGACTAAGCTTTACTGTACATCTATTCTATGCCAGGTATTGTGTTAAATAAATAGTCTCTGTACATTATAGGCGTGACTTTTACAAATCTAGTAATTTCTTTTTTCTTTTTTTTTGAGACAGAGTCTTGCTCTGTCGCCCAGGCTGGGGTGCAATGGCACAATCTGGGCTCACTGCAACCTCTGTCTCCTGGGTTCAAGCAATTCTCCTGCCTCAGCCTCCCAAGTAGCTGGCATTACAGGTGCCTGCCACCATGCCTGGCTAATTTTTTTTCTTTTTTGAGATGAAATCTTGTTCTGTCACCAGGCTGGGTGCAGTGGTGCAATGTCAGCTCACTGCAACCTCTGCCTCCCCAGTTCAAGCAATTTTCCTGCCTCAGCCTCCTGAGTAGCTGGGACTACAGGTGCGCACCACCATGCCCAGCTAATTTTTGTATTTTTAGTAAAGATGGTGTTTCACCATGTTGGCCAGGATGGTCTCGATCTCTTGACGTTGTGATCCGCCTGCTTTGGCCTCCCAAAGTGCCGGTATTATAGGAGTGAGCCATTGCGCCTGGCCATTTTTTGTATTTTTAGTACAGGCAGGGTTTCGTCATGTTGGCCAGGCTGATCTTGAACTCCTGACCTCAGGTGATCCAACCTTCTTTTTTTTTTTTTGAGATGGAATCTTCCTCTGTCCCCCAGACTCAAGTGCACTGGTGCAATCTGCAACCTTCACCTCCCAGGTCCAAGTAATTCTGCCTCAGCCTCCCAAGCAGCTAGGACTACAGACCCCTACCACCATGCATGGCCAATTTTTGTATTTTTAGTAGAGATGGGGTTTCACCATGTTGGCCAGGCTGGTCTCATACTCCTGGCCTCACGTGATCTGCCTGCCTCAGCCTCCCCAAGTGTTGGGATTATAGGCATGAGCTACCATGGCTGACCACAAATCTAGTAATTTCTTTTTTTTGAGACAGGATCTTACTTTGTAATCCAGGCTGGTGTGCAATGGTGTGATCTTAATTCACTGCAGCCTCTATCTCCTGGGCTGAAGTGATCCTCTGCCTCAGCCCCACAAGTAGCTGAGACTATAGGCATGTGTATACTATAGTGTAAAAAATAACAAATAAAACCACCCTCAGTGTCCTGGCCTCCATCAATTATTTTGGTATGTCTTGGATAGAAGCTTAATGTATTTAACTAAAAGAAAACCCCTCCTAGATGATTCTGGGAGTACTATTTTAATCTCTGAGGCAATAAAAAAGAGCAACCACATTTTGCAGATGAGGTAACAGATTTAGAGAAGTTAAATCATTCACCAAAAACCATATAACTGCTAGTAACCTATTTAAATCTAGGTCTGCCTGACTTCAGAATCCATAATTTAATCATGATGCAATACAAAGAAATTAAGAAAAGACTAGAGGAGACCTAGAACTGCCTTATTCTGAGCTGAGACGGCTCAATGGAAGGAGCTCTTTTCTAACAAGAGGATATTCAGTACCCCTGGGTCAGAAATGGGAAGAGCAAAAAATGGGCAGCTTGCGGGGAGAAGGAGGAGGATAGAGAGGGTGTAAGCATACTTTTAACAAAACAAAACTAAGGAAAAATTCCCAACCCAAGAGGCGTGAGGGGGCGGGGAAGAGGACATTCCAAGGACTGAAAACACCGATACAAAGGCCATTAAAAAAGATTATTCCCAAATGCCAAAACTTAGTAAAATGAAAAAATTTTTTAGCACTTTATGGCATTTCAGAGTCTTCTTTATTTCTATTCTCCTAGGAGGTTAAAGCCTGTTGGAAAGTAGTGAAAGGCCAAAACCACAGCACTTCCGTGGTGTAGGCTATTGATGGGCAGAGACAGCACTAGTTTGCCCTTTGGCAGATTTAGGATACACTCAGTGGGTGGGCTTTAAGGGAGTTCCAGAACTTTCCAACTTGCCTAACTTGCAAAGCAGTCCAGCAAGCAGTTAGGGTGGTTCCTGGTTTTTGGGGAAAATTTCTCCAAAGAGGGTAATAATGAAGCATAGAAAGCTTTAGATACAGAGGCTCCTGGGATAAAGCTGCCTTTCGGTTAGCTACTAGTTTATCATGGAAAAGTCTTATTTCCTTTTCCAAGGTGGTAGTGGGGTATGCTTCCTACTCAGTAGTAAGAACCAAACAATGTGTGCTCTGAAGCTAGGCAAGGGGTAAACACAGAAGACAAGAAACAGCTAACAGGAACTCAACCATAATTAGAGACAATAAAATATCTATTTTGGAATCTGGGATATATAAGTGGGAGAGATTTCTGGAAGGAAGAGGTAAGAATAACTGAGGTCGGATTTCCACAGTAATAAACAGCCTGGTTTTCCTTAGGCTTCATAGATCAGATTGGGGTCTTCAGGAACCTCTCATATTGCCTATCTCATCCAATTTATGTGTAACTCTTTCTGAGACACATAAACCATGGCTGTAGAGCCTACAGATGTGATAGGGAAAGTGGGGTGACCAATGGAAAGCCGTGGGCTCTCCTGAGAGGCTCCTGGTCAGTGGATCTGTGGAAGGCTTTGAGATGAATACCTGACAACAGCTTACTGGGTGTGAAGCTCTTTTCTAACCATCTGTATCCTCAACTGTTCCCCAGTATTACTGTGCAGTCACAAATCACCTCCATTAGCAAGGCTGAGGTACTTTGGAAAAATTTCAACCAAACACAGCTTTTCCCATTCAAGAAGAAACTCCAGGATCAAGGACTTTACTGGGAGTGTCTCTGTTCATGCCACAGGGAGTGGAAAGACAGGACTATATCAAACAAGCCCTCTACAGGTTGCCAACTGGCAGCAAAGCCTCTGTCTTTTCTGTTTAGTGCCTAAAGAGAGAGAAGAGATGAGTTCCTATAGTCCAAGAAAAGAACTTGCTTAGGATAGAATTACAGCTTCTGAATCCTAGTTTTAACTCTCAGGCTGGCACTAAGCACTCCACTGTGCTAATGTCTATCTGTGTTCCCTAAGATGCTGCTCCGTGATGGCTAAGACTAAAGGAGACTTGGTTCTCATTTCTCCTTGGTGGGTTCAAATTTCAAGCACAGAGGCAGGCCTTGCAAAATTACTCTGAAAACTGTAATACTTCAGTGGAAAGGAGGCCATGAGAAAAACACAGAGTTCTACAGTAAGAGCACTGCTTGGCCAGGGACACTACGCTATACTATATTGTGGCATATCACCCGAGGAAGAAGACTGATTGGGGAAGCAAGACTGCCTCCAAATTCTGGCTCCTCTTCTGGCTTTAGGTAGGTCTTTCTTCAGTTCTTTCCAGGGACGAAAGGGAACTCACATATATCTACTGTCTAATACATCTCAGTCATTATACAAAGCACTTTACACTATTTTTTTTTTTTGAGATGGAATCTTGATCTGTTGCCGAGGCTGGAGTGCAGTGGCGCAGTCTCGGCTCATTGCAACCTCCGCCTCCTGGGTTCAAGTGATTCTTCTGCCTCAGCCTCCTGAGTAGCTGGGATTACAGGTGGGTGC